TCCTCAGCCAGCTTTGCTGGCTGAGGAACTCTGGGAGTTGAAGTCCGCTAGTCTTAAAGTTGCCAAGGTTGGAGACCCCTGGCTTAAAAGACTGAAAGACTGTAGAATGGCAGCTTAAGTCTGGTTCACAATGATCCAGGGAGAATGCTGCATTTGTTGTACCATTTTCCATGTTTATTTCCTAAGCACATTATCTTCATGTATGTGTTGTAGATATCACTGTGATGTAATATACTCATGTTTTTTGGCTTTTTGCCTTTCAGCAGTCAGTGTACAGGTCAAGGATCAACCAGTAAAAACGTATCTCTAAAGAGTGTTCTACAGCATATTGAAGCCACACCCATAATTGTCCATTATGCAATACTGGGCATCCAGAAATGGAACAGCAAATTGAATTCTAGAGCACCCAAAGCCCCCTTTTCCAGATGCCACATACATGATTTTATGCTGCTTAACATAGACCTGACTCAAAATGTGCAATATGATCTGAATAGGTGGGTAAAAGTATGCAAGTCGAATATGGTGCTAGATTGGATGTCTTCATGTGTTTTCTGTTGTCCTCGCCCGCCTACATTTGCTCTTCTGAAAAAAGGTCATTGAGACAAGTTCCTACATAACATTTTTCTGTAATAGTTATTTGGAACATGGTAAAGTAGGAGGTTGATGTCTGCTGGAAAGCGTACTAGACAATGAAGGACAGAAGGTTTGCCTCTGTTCCTCTTGAGCACTTTGTAGAGAACTCAGGTGCAAGAACATCTTATTTCATCCATGAGATTTTGATCAGCATTTTATTTCATCGGGTTAAATGAATACTAGTAAGGGGTAGGGGAGGGAGAGGAGGAAATATATTTTTTCTTCCTGGTGCTAATAGATACCTTCCCTCTTTGGCAGCTTGCTATTGGGACATTGTACAGGAAAAGAAATCAAGTCTGGGAGAAAATTGTCTTGTAACCAAACACTTTCTTCATGAATATTTTCATTCATTTTCTAATTCAAAATTCATTTTCTATCCAAGGTTCAGAATTGGGACCAAGGATATTCACTTGTCTTCCCAGGGCTTTCTGGTAGAAGAAGTAACTTTGGGTTAGCATTATTTTAAGTGTTTTATTTGGGAGGCAACGTAGGTGAAACCTCTAAGCAAGTGACTGTCTTAATGTGTACATTATTTGGAGCATTAACTGTAAAATAGTTGTACATATACAGCCCTTTGTTGTTATTTTGTATTGTAGAATTTTAAGCTAGAAGTCCTCATTAGCTTCCTAAGCCTATGATTTCCAGCTAAGATTTCCACTCTTATGAAGTCTCAATGAGCATATCTAATATCAGAGAGAAATTCTAGGAACTGTAATATCAACATATTTGGAGAGCATTGGATTATATATCCATATGTTAATCTGTGTTCATTTGCTTAGGTATTTTTGTGAAGATGTAGATTTTAGTCTAAGAACAAACAGCAGTGGCTTGCTTATCTGTTGTTTTAACAACTTCAGTCTTATGAAGAAACATATCCAGGTTGGCGGTCAAAAAGATTTTGATATTAAACCGAAAATCATGGTGAGTAGAAAAAGATGTTTGTTTGTATTCCCCCTCTCTTCTACCCATTTCCATTTCCTTATGAAGTCATAGATATGAGGAAACGTTTCTGAGGGACAAATCATTGATCTGTCTAGGCCAGGAGTAGTGGTCCAATTCAGTGCTTGGCATTGGCTCATGGTAAGGTCTGGCTGATCTGACTGGTTTGCAATTGATTGGAGAGTCATCAGGAGTCAGGTGACATTCAAACTTAATGAATGTAATTATTATTGTTATTTATGACTGTTTAACAAAAGGCGTAACCTACCTTCTTTTCCCAGTCATTAAGATACTGTCAGCTTTGGAAGCCATATTGAGAACGATGCCTCCATGCAGCCACAAGCCTGAGAAAGTGGGAGGAGGGCAGGGGTGGGTTGCTACCAGTTCTGCCCAGCTCTATACACATGCGCAAAACGTAATCACCAAACCGGTAATTACACCGGTTGAATCCCACCCTTGGAGGGGGGAAATTCAATTGAGTATCTCTAAGTAGACAAAATAAAATTCTTTTGCTAGTTCAAGGTCATTGAAGAATGAAATAAGAATCTTACTTTAGGACAGATCGTGATTGGGCCATGTGATGTGATGACGGCCAAGGGGGGATGGATTTGTAGTTTTGAATATTGCAAGGAAGCCAGAAACCTTTAGATTTGGGATTCCACAGATGTGCCAGTTACTATCCAAATAAAGCAATCTTTGAGAGATGTCTGTCTCGGAGTTACTGCCTGGAAAGGAGGGTTGCTGGAACACTGACAGATACATTACTAAAATGAGGCATCATACAAATCATGCCTAACCCTAACACTAACCCTTGAGCATCTATTGGTGGATACTCTTAATGGTCTTGGTTCAACTCACAAACATTTGTGGTGGTAAAACTTTCCTAATAAAGAAACTAGGTTTCCTCAAAATTCTCCTCAAAATTCGTATCTAACCACTTGATAGAATTCTAGAAAAACAAAAGAAAATCAGTCCAGCAGCCTAAAATCTGCTCAGTTCCAGAATAGGGGAATTGTCTGGAGAAAGGAAGGAAATCAGGCGGGTGAAAGTTACCCAGCAACTTTTTCTTCCCATCCCTACATAGCCATGGGCAATTTGGCACCAACTCTCTTATGGGAAAGTCCTGGAAATGTGTTACTTTGCATTGTGTCCTATTCTAAGTCATCAATGTGGATGTGTCTCAAGCATCTCCTTTGATACCCAAATGGTTTCAGTCCCACTTGATTTTTTAATAGGTCTCCAAATGACAAAGCAGCTGGTTCATGTCCTGATCCTTTCAATATCGGACAAACGCGTTTGCTGGATTATCCAGGACAATGCAATTATTGGCACTAGATTCCACACCTAATGGGCTCTTCTGTAGATCCTATTAGATGAAAAGGAGGAAAATAATTTCTTGTTCTGTTTGAATAAGTTTTATGACTTATAGCTGTGATGGTGAACCTATGGCACCGTGACGTGTGCCCGCAGGGATGGCTCTGCGGGCACATGTCACGCGTGCCATCACCCAGCTCGGTTTCACTGTGCATGCGTGCACGCCTCCCGCCAGCCAACTGGTTTTCAGGTATCTGCCGTGGATGCGTGGGGGCGGGGCACATTGCGCACTGTCGTGCACACACACACGCACTTTTGGCACGCGACAACAAAAAGGTTAGCCATCACTGACTTATAGTCTCTGGTCTCCTTCCATTTCAAGCCATTGTTTTACTCATTCGTCGGTTATATTTCTGTACTTGCTGATTTCTCCATGTGAGACAATCTCATTAGTCCCTTTCCATCTGTATGGTCTACGTATGTCATGAAATATTTTAGCTTTGTACAGGAAACCTGTTTGGCAACTGTGGCTCTGCGCTCTTGCCTTTTTCTACTCACATGGCCACCTTCAATTTCTTTTTTGATAATCATTCAGCTATTCAGATTTTTATCAAATTGTCTAATCGTTGGATCCGTAAACAATAAACCAAAAATAATCATATTTGATAGATATTTTTATTTCTGCACCTGCCAGATGTGCTGCTTGCTTCCTGGCTGTTTTCAATGAATGCTTCTAAGAAGCTATAGTGCAGTGCAGGAATCAGGCCTAAGATAAAGGCTGCTTTTAATAATAATAATAATAATAATAATAATAATAATAATAATAATAATA